CCAAGAAGCAAAGCTTTGCAGACTCAATTTATTCCCTTCAAAGCTAAATGTCTCTTCCTTTGTAGGGGTACCATAGTGGCTTGATACTGCACAATTATGAGATTATGCAGTCATATCTATTAACAGTTTGATTGATTCAACCATAGACCACTGTACTCTTGCTTATGATGTCTATCATGCTAGTTTTAGATTTAGTATATAAAGCTCTAGAAAAGTGATGTTGTGTTCTCCTTAAAATACTCCTGTTATTAATGTGCACAGGCTTGTATTTCCAGTTCCCTAATGTTTATGCAAATGAAGCTAAATCATCTTTTATAAGTTGGAATTTTGTTTCAGTCTGAAGCAGGTAACAATGAAGATTGGGATGACAGCTTACTGACGAAAGATGAAATAGAGGCAAGGCTGCAGAGGAAGGTACAAGCAATCATCAAAAGAGAGAGAGCAATGGCATATGCATATTCCCATCAGGTGCTGCTCTTCAACTCATTCTCCAATGTCAATTTAGAACAACTCTTTATGCTTTTCTTTCTTTTTCTTTTATTATTTGTTGTCAATAAAGACACAAAAAGGCACATATTATATTATTAATACTAAATAGGATATTGTTGTGGTCTATCCAGTGTATAAAGGACTGAACCACACCAGCCAGACCAAAAAAACTGGTTATTGGTCCCAATTTGGACAAAGGGGTTGCTCACCCCAAAAGAGAATTGGTTAAGTATTGGTGAAACCCGTCATGAAGTTGTCAAAATTGGTGGTCCTATCGGTTCAAATTGGTTGATTTTTCTTAATAATTGAAAATGTTTCTATGTTATGAATTTAATCAATTTATTCATAACATACCTAATCAGCATTGTGAAATGAGTGCTAGTGGGCAAATGGTCAAGAGATATACGTGTGTATATTATAAAATTATAAATTATAAAATAAGTATATACATTACTGTAGTTTACATCTCATAACTATTGCATTTTTATTCTTAAAATTATGAAACATAAACTTTTTAAATTTTATTTTTTTCTTCTTATCTTCACACACTTTCTTTCTATCTTTTTTTTTTTTAAATTATTGTTGTTTTATTTTGGAAATCAATTTTTAATATATTTTTATTTCACTTTTTAGGGTTAAATTGCATTTTTGCCTTGGAAGTATCCCTAGAGAAGCTATGGGCATCTTAAAAAAATTATGGAGAAATGTAACACAATTTCTTTTTAAACATTAATTCAAGTGCAGGTCAATAGACTTTTTTGGATCCAACATTGACTTAACATTACCCTTAAAAATGGACATCATTAAACCAAAATTCTAAAAGATTATGTCCTACATTACTCTATAATTTTCTTTAAGTATCCATAGCTCATTCAGGAATACTTTTGTGGTAAAAATTCACTTTAACCTTTTTTTTTTAATGCTTTTTATTTAAAGTAGCAACTAGTAAGTATGTAAATTAACATATAATAATTTTATGACAACTAATGTGGTCAGGTTTAGCCATAGTTCCACCATTGAATCATGAATTGGCATCTTAGTCGGTCCAATGGTCGACCTATTTTTTAATACCTTAGGTTTATCTTCTTTCCAACATGGTTTTCTACCTTATCAAAGCTAACTAAGATTTTGGTGATCTAACTCAGTTCATGCCACCAGCCTCACTACTGACTTCCATATAGTGAGGCCTTACAAGCAATTAATTGTGCAAACATCATCAAGACCAGTAAAATTACTTTATATGTGCAAATTTTGGCTTGCCAGATATGTCACAAGATTCATATGGATTGTCTGTTATGTTTTATTTTTGCCTGAATTTTGTCTGTCATGTGGCATGTGCACTTTGAAGAACGAGGCAAGTTCTTGGAACACTAATTAGAAAAACATCTGCTAGGTTAAGTAGGACGGCCTGATTGATTTAAGATATCTCCAGAGTGTGGTGATTATGTTGACTTTGCCTACAGTTGTGGAAAGCCACTCCCACATCAACACACACACTGGGGTCAGATATGCGATCCGGGGGATTTCCATGGTGGTGGACCTGGTTGGAACGGCAGCTGCCCTCAGCAAATCCACAAGGAGGCCAGGTCTTGAAGAATTTTCAACTTACACCTCCCAGACCATATTCTGAACAGAAGACTAGTCCACAACCTGCCTCAAGCACCCATAAGCAGCACCGCTATGCGTTAGATAATATGGATACAGCCACACCAAAATCCAGTAAATCGGCTGTAGTGTCGTCCGCAAAACCAGCTAGAACCCCACAAGCAAACAGCTCGAGCTTGCCAAAGTATTCGAGAGCAAGGGTGGGGGGGACTGATTCACCTTTTGATGTGCCACTCAGGGATGATGATAGCCTCACAAGCTGCCCACCATTTTCAGTACCGAACTACATGGCTCCAACTCTATCTGCCAAGGCCAAAGTACGTGCTAGTAGTAATGCAAGAGAAAGTTTTCCCGGGACTCCTAACTCTGAATCAAAGAGGCGACTTTCATTTCCTCTTACGCAAGGAATTGGATCCTTTAAATGGACAAAAGGTTCCTTGTTCCCGAGCAAGGATCCTAGGTCCCAAAGGATGTTAGATAAGAACCAGTCACTTCAATCTTTAGGAAACTTGAGTGTGGATTCAACGGTGTCTTTACCCGCAGGGGTCGGAAGGAAGCCGTTTAACAGATTTGCGTGATTTTTATTTTGTGGTGTATTCTTTTGGCCTATTGTCCATGGCGTTTTTATGAGTTATATCATGATTTGAGTGTATGATGGTAGTTTGAGAAAAAGGATACATTTGTAAACTAATAAAGAGAGAGATGATAGGAAATGACGGTGTCGTTGTGATATATAGAATTTGGTTTTTATTGAATGGTACCACATAAAATTCAATTTGGTACGCCTTTAGTGTATGTGGAATTCATATGATTGTACTATGTCCGAGAGCCAGAATGGGTTGTTGGTATCACTTGGAAATCCCGTGTTGTTGTGGAAGCGTTCAAAATTAATTGGCTTCGGACAATAGGACTCCGAGGAACATATATGCTTTAATGGGTGGTCGCACCGACGTAAACTCACCCCATAAACTGCCGCTCTGACCACACGAACGTCGTACAAGATGGCCGTGACACACAATCTTGTTTCTTTTTCTCGACTTACATGCGTGCAAAAGATCATGAAAAGGGCCCATATACATTTACCCCTGCATGTTAGGAAACAAAGAAAATCACGACCCTCTTGATTATTCAAAGATCATCAAATGCGGCTTTACCATTAAAGATAAGCGCGCAGATCCACGTTTTTTTCCTGGTTTGATTCGCCAAGTGGTAGGTTCTGATGCGTAGGAGTTGACTTGGAATGCTGTCATATCGCCTCGCCGCTCTCGCTGTACCAAAATAGCAAATAGGGGGAATGACATAAAAATTCTTGAAAAATACCAAGATTCTTTTACAATTTAAGTCTCAGGAAATTTTCTAGTAAAAAAAGAAAGAAAGAAAGAAGTATCAGCAAATTTGCTATTAAAATTTCAGAAATTTATAATTTAAAATTTTTTATTTACATTAATTTTCTTACAAAATTTCTATTTGTCATTTTACTTAACAAATATCCGGGTCGTGCTGCTAGCGGCTGCATACCAGATGCACCTAACATTGATTTGGATCCTGCATGAGTCTACGTCTATTTGTGAATCCCGACCCTCTTAATTATTCGATCTTATCAAAATTGGTCGGCATTAGTAGTATCAGACTTTTATGATTTTTTCTTCAAATTTTTTTTTAAATATAACGAATTATACTTTAATTCACAACATTATATATTTAGTTTTAATTTAATCTAAAAAATATGACAACAAAAATATGTATACATAATTACATATTAATAGTTTTGGTAAAATATACTGACATCCTTTTTTGTTTTGTTAAAATTGCAATGACCTCCCATCTGTTTGTAAAACCTTTATTTTTTTATATCATACGCATGTATTCTCTTATGATCATATTCAATATACACTTAATCACTAAATGTAAACATATATTTTAATGAGAATTTTAATTTTGGTTCGCTACGATATGAGGGATTAATCCCTTACACTAGGCCTAACTTATCATTGATTTTTTTTAAAACTTACACTTTAGCTCAATTCTTAACTAATTAACATTGTATTAAAATTTTAAAAGACAAAAAACTTATATATTTTGCCTTATATACTTAATATGCTTATTTTCAATAAAATCAAGACATATGAATTGTTTATAAATTATTTATTCTATAATTAATTCTTGCAATTGATTTTATTAACACATTAAGATCCAATTGTCATGATTTAATTGGATGTAAGTATATTAAGTGTATAAAATGAAGTACATAAGTCTTACCCTTAAAAAAATAAACTTAAAATATATTGATTAATTTATCTCTTATTACACTAAATCCCTAATTTATTAAGTTTTCTCACAAGTATTTGAAATATTATTTTAACCAACTTATATATATTTATTTTTTTAAAAAATACTAAATAAATACATTTGCATAACTAAAAAATTTAAAATATGAATAACAAGGGTAAAAAATCCATTAAATTTTTTTCGGTGGCTTGAATGATTGTTAGATAATATCTATGTATGTTTAAAAAGAATATTTTGATCCAATATATATGAATTAATAATCAACCAACAATTAGATAGATGAAAGTGAAATTTTAACAATAAAATGGAGCCATATATTTTGTTATTATTGATTCTAGAAAAACTTCGTAAAGAAAAAAAAAAAAGAATGTCTGGGATTGAGATAACATGCAAGAGACATCTATATATTTTGCTCATAATATTTTTGGTCGCACAACAGAGTTTCCAATTTGGGCATAAAGGAGGCGCTCATATTAATTAACCAAGAGATTAATAGAGCGATTTGTTTTGTGTGGAGAACGCGAATATGGGCCTGGAGATCTTGGGCTAGGCCAGCCCAGAAGAAGATAGTCAGAAAGAGGACACGAATAGCCTATTTAAGGCTGTCTGTGGCGCGGGGGGGTGACAAGAGCAAGGCAAGGCAAGGCAAGTGAAAAGGAAAGCAAGGCGGAGAGGAGACATCGCATCATCGCACGACAGCAAGAATGGCTCTGAAACCCACCCCTCTCTCTTGCCGATCTCCCAAGTTCAATATGTCTTCCTTTGCCCTCCCTCAGATGGCAACCCTCAGATCTCCCAGGTTCATCATGGCCTCCACCCTTCGTTCTGGTTCCAAGTCAGTTCTCCGTCTCTTTCGATCTCTTCTCTTTTCCTTCTTCCCCTATTTCTATTTCGTCTCTGCTCCTTCGCTTCTTTTTCTACTCATTCATACATGCATCTTCTTTTTGCATCTCTCCACCTTTCTATTTTCAATAATTAGAACTTTCTTTTCTGCCTTCTCCTTCTCTTATTTCTTCTACATCTTCTTTCCTTTTAGCTATCGAATCTAAGCCTCTTTTCATTGCCAAATATTTCATGTTTCTGCCCCTTACCCTTGTTTGACGTGCTTTTGATAACAGGCCTACTCATTCTCAGGGGCCCCTTAGTGGTTACTATTATTGATATCTCCATTTAAGGAACCTTGGTCTGTAGAACTGTTAGACTGATACCTCGGAGTATCATTCAACCTCTTCGTAGTTTCATTTTCAATCTTTTGGTTGGTAATTGGATGGTTGGGGGTGGTTCGATCGAAGTCGCTCATTTTTCTATTTTCTTGTGATTAGTAGTTTTGATACGTGTCTTGGTGTTTATCTTTTCTTCGGTTGGTGAGGATTAGGAGTAGCTGAGACGCATTTGATAATATCTCATTTACACATTGAAATTTTGTATACTTATTTATCCCTTATGGACCCTTGGTGGGTAACACTTGAGGGAATTATATGTTCAATTTTGAAACCAACTGGACCTCGGAGTTGCCCTGCTTGCTGGCAGATTTTTTTCCCTTGAGGATTTTTCTCATTGTATTGGAATTGGTTAGCAAGGACATTGAGGTTAGGATACCCAATATTTTAGTAAATTGTGTATGTAGATAACAGGATTGGATGAAATGTCATATGGTGGTTGATTTTGGTTGAGCCTTTCAGTAAATTATTGAGAGAGACATGAAGTGTCTTGCTGCGGAGGTTACAGTTTCCCAAAACCTGCCCTTTTTTATAATATAACGTTGTTCCTTTAAAAAAAAATATTATAGTTAGAGTAAATGAATTCTGGTCTTCATGTTGTTGGTATGAGAAATCTAGTTTATGTGATAAATTTAATGTGTGCATTGCTGGCATCGTCATATAATAGTTATAAAACATCATCTAAATTCATTTTGTAGAGAGGTTGAAAATCTCAAGAAGCCTTTCATGCCTCCCAGAGAAGTGCATGTCCAAGTAACCCATTCTATGCCACCCCAGAAGATTGAGATATTCAAATCTTTGGAGGCTTGGGCAGAAGAGAACATCCTGGTTCACCTTAAGCCTGTGGAAAAATGTTGGCAACCACAAGATTTTCTACCAGAACCTTCATCAGATGGTTTTGATGAGCAAGTAAAGGAACTGAGAGAGAGAGCAAAGGAGATTCCCGATGATTATTTTGTTGTACTGGTAGGAGATATGGTCACAGAAGAAGCCCTGCCAACTTACCAGACAATGCTTAATACCTTGGATGGAGTTCGTGATGAAACAGGAGCCAGCCTTACTTCCTGGGCAGTTTGGACAAGGGCATGGACTGCTGAAGAAAATAGACATGGTGACCTTCTCAACAAGTATCTTTACCTGTCTGGACGAGTTGACATGAGGCAAATTGAAAAGACAATCCAATACCTAATTGGATCTGGAATGGTAAGATCATGTGTTACATATGGTGGCTTATCGCCTTGACCCTTTTAGTCAATTCTTTATTATTAGAGAATCAAGCAGCTGTGCTATGTCAAAGAAACTCGTGCATACATATGCACATGCATCTGGATATATTAATGTGCTTGCAGATTCGCGTATACTTGCATGTTCATAAATGAGGTATTCGCTTGAGGACATCTTCCTCACTTCTTGGGCTGGCCCAGTCAAAAGGACCTCAACAGGATCATTTTAAAAAAATCCATTATATGGTTCAGAGTTCAGACTATAGTTGAATTTTAAATTTATGATCCACTGAGTATATTTCTGTAATTGCTGCACTTTCCATATTTCTGTTCAGTTTTATTATTTTTCAATTGATGTCCATGAATAGGATCCTCGGACTGAGAATAGCCCCTACCTTGGGTTCATTTACACTTCATTTCAAGAGAGAGCAACATTTATATCCCATGGAAACACCGCCAGGCTCGCTAAGGAGCATGGTGATATTAAGTTGGCTCAGATATGTGGTACAATTGCATCAGATGAAAAGCGCCACGAGACTGCCTATACGAAGATAGTGGAAAAGCTATTTGAGATAGATCCTGATGGAACAGTATTGGCATTTGCTGACATGATGAGGAAGAAAATAACCATGCCAGCGCACTTGATGTATGATGGCCGGGATGACAACCTGTTTGAGCACTATTCTGCTGTTGCGCAGCGGATTGGGGTCTACACTGCCAAGGACTATGCTGATATACTTGAGTTTCTGGTAGGCAGGTGGAACGTGGAGAACCTAACTGGACTATCAGGTGAGGGGAGGAAGGCTCAGGATTTTGTTTGTGGGCTACCAGCAAGAATCAGAAGGCTGGAGGAGAGAGCTCAAGGAAAAGCCAAGCAAATGCCAAGCCTTCGATTCAGTTGGATATATGACAGGGAAGTACAACTTTGAATACATTAAAGAGCGTTATGTTCATTCTCTGGCTCCTGCCTCCTGTTCTGAGAATGCTGGAATGCTGGAACATGTGAAAGCAACCATTTTGCCGTTTCTTTTTCGTTTTGTATGTTGTCTTTTAGCGTAAGGTGAATTTGGGATTTGGTGGCTTGCGTAGTTCACTTGTTAAGCTCAAGCTTGTTAAGCAGGTAGGGCCTCTTCTTTCTTATGTTAGTGTGGTCGAAGCAAACGTTCTTTCTACCAATTTTGAAGATGAAGAAATGGTTTCTTCAAACGCTTGAATTTCCAAGGCGATTCTTCAGGAGAATCACCATAAGCAATCTCTCTTTTTGGGCAAACTTGAAGAGTTAACAGTTATAAAAACAAAAGCTACAACCTGATACTAGTCCGTTAAGTGATGAACAATATGAAATTTAAAATAAAATAAACACTAGATTTAATGCACGGTGGAACATATATTTATGTAATTTTTAACTGTTCCTTACGGTCTTAAGTGGCTTAGTGAGGGCGTTTATTTTGGGAATTAAAACGTTTCATGGTTGGGAAAAATGGTTAATATGTTCAAATGAGGGCTATGTTTTTCCAAATCAAATGAATGATGTGTTTACTTATTTTCTCTTCGACTCTTAGCTTTGTAAATTTGATGGTCCTATAATGGGATAGGCAGCCTATCTCATGATAGGATGGGACTATCAAATTTTAGTACGACCCTTCTGCTTTTGCATTGCTAAAAGTGTAATGTTTTTTTAAATCATAAAAAATATAAGGCTTCATTGTATCATGGCTCAAAATACTGAAATGTCACTGTTTTTAATCTACAAGTTAATAAAAAAAATATTTGTAATTGAACACATACCAAACAAAAAATTAAAGATTTACCCTCTCATCTTTTGAAATGGGTAGTGTAACATCTTAAATTTTAATTCAAGAGTTAAATTAATTAACTAAGATATTTAATTAGTTAATTAGGTGATTAGGAGTCAATATTAGAACTTGGATGGCCCTTTGGGCCTATTGGACCTTTTAGAAGGGCTAGAGTAAGATTTAAGAGAGTTTTGGGCTATTTTGGACCCAGACTAGAGGGTTTTAGTGGTACTGCTTATTTTAAGCTATCCGCTATTACGGATGGTGCAATTTGCCTTAGCGGACGGGACAAAATTTTAAATCCTAAATTTGCTAGATGAAATCCCAGACAAATGATTTTTGAGAGTTTGGACAAGAGCAAAAAGAACTTTGCTAGGGTTTTATTTTGGAGGTCCCTAGGAGTGTCTTGAAGTTTATGAATTATTGGGTAAGGCCCCTTTCTTCTTCTTCTACCTCCACTTGTGCATTTTTTTTGTGTAATTTTTGGGTTGAGGAGTTAATATCCAAACTTGTGGCTAAGCAACAACCTTTTATTAAATTTAAATGGAGTCTATGGATACTATTTAATGGTCCTATAATCCTATCTTTTGGTCTTGATAGTTGCAGCTTTAAATGCTATTAATGAGGGGTTTAGAGTTAACTCTAAAGCTAAATAATTAAGTTTAAGCAAATAAAGGTAGTTGACAATGATTATTAAGATTAATGGAAGTCAAAGAAGCTAATGGAAATGAGTTTTGGGCTTAGTTATACTTAATCGTGCTTAATAAGAGATTTAGGACTTAATTATGGTTAAGGGTTAATTAATAACAATCAATTATTAATGTTGTTTTGGATTATTGTTGTAGACTAATTATGCTTCGAGCTAGTATTCGAAGAAGCTCTATCAAAAAATTCAAATTAGACTCTTAGGGTGGTAACCCAAGAGCGAAGGCAATTGGAAATTTGATTTAAGTAGATCATTGTGTTTGCAAAAGTTGTATTAATGGTGTTAATGTTTTGGCATGAGCAAATAAGAGCATGATGCTGAAATTGTTTAGCTATGAATTTGATACATGAGTGATGGAGTACGCCTTTTTATGATAAACTGCACTTGATGATTAATTATATATAATTATCACATAATCATATAATTAGAAATTGTTGTGCTTGGATTGGTTGTGTATTAATTCCGTGATTATGAAGCGTTGAATCATTATGGATTTTGCTATTTTATGAGTTATGATAAGCATATAAGTTCTAGGATAATATGAATGTTGAATTAATGAGATTTGCATCAATTTGTGTTTGTATATGTCAAATGGACTTACATGATCATGATAGGTGGAAACTCACAGGGGTAATAGATGGCTATATTGGTAAAATTTACATGGTGTAACCTCTATTAAGCTTATGTATAATGGTCGGCATATTTAATTTCTATATGTGCTTAGTATTGTCAATAATCTATAGGTGTGGCATGGGTCAAGCATGTCATTTAGTATCATCGGTTCCTGAAGGTGACATTGTGAGCTAAGCACTTATAACACCTTAAAATTTGAGTAAGGGAGACTCATGGTTTGAAAGTGAGTGTGAGAGCTTTTGGTATGGTGACCCCTTACAATTGGAAAGTGTGGTTAATCTAGTTATAGGGACTAAACCTATATGAGTTGATAGCCCATAGGTTTAATCAAAAGATATAAGGGGAATATAAGGCAATTGCATCGATTATGTGACATTTAATTTTGAAATAAATTGTGATTAATGAGTAGTGTGTCCTATGTATTATTGTTTGCTTACTTGATTGTGATTATCACACTTTAATATGCTTTGATTAGATTTCTTGATTATTGAGATTGTTTAATCTCATTCCCATTACTTATATCTTTTTAAGAGAAGCTAAGGCAAATGACAAAAGGGAGGCTTTAGAGGCCAGTCACTAGATACCCTATTTGTATTATCTCCAATACTTAATTTTATGTAATGAAGTTTATATTTGCCAATATAGGATAATTGTAACCTATTAACTATAGGTCATTTGCATGTGAGCCTTAATTGTTGATTGAGCATTTTAGTTTGGTGGCTTTATGTTTTAGGGAAAAGGCTCGGCATGCAAAATGTATGGTGTGATTGAATGTTATATTTTGGCATATAGATTAACATCATGGCATGTTTGTACATGGGAAGTTTATGTTGTGGAATGGTAGAGTTAATGGCTTGTGAAAGGAGGCACTTGATGTAACATCCTGATTTTTTATATAATAAAGAAATTGTGGAATTTAGGTTTTGAGAAAAAAAAATGATAATAATAGGAATTTATATTATTTGAGGTTATTTAGAAATAATATTATGGTTAGGTATTTAATTATGAATTTAAAAATTTAAATTTAAAACTACATAAGCAATATTTAGTTAAGATATAATACATAAATAATTTTTTTTATGTATGTGTTGAAAAAAAAAAGAGAGAAGGTAGAAGGAACAAAAAAAAGGGGGTGGAAGGTTGTTGTTTCTAAGTCCCACATTGGTTAGATGAGGGAAGAGAAGAGGTGCCTTCATGTATAAAAAGGAGGGGGTGTGTGCATTAGGAAGCATGAGAGGCTAAGATGCAATTTAGAGAAAATTGCAACTTTTGGCCCAAAGGTTTGAATAATTAAATTCAAACCTATAGTTTTTTTTAATATAATTTTGGGACTTACAATCCCATTTTTATATTATTTTTCTCTCTTCCTCTCACGTTGCTCGGCGTTTTCTCGCAAGGGGGGATTATTTTCTTTTTCTTCAGGTATGTTCTAACTTTCCTGTTTGGATTAGTATTTAAAAATTTATTTAATTACAAAATTAATTTTGTAGTTATTTTCTAAATAATATTAGCTTTCTAGTGATATGATTATTTTGTAGGATAGAGTAAATATTTTGATTAGGATTTTTCTATAGGATAGTTAATCTGATGATATGATGGATTAAAAATATAGGTTAAAATTCTTAGGGATATAAAAAAATATTATAGAATATTTTCTTAAGGTTGAAACTCATGTTTAAGAATTTTTGAGTTAAAATCTAGATCTATATGGTTGAATTTATGTGGAATCTGAGACGTAGGGATAAACCTATGATTATTAAATATTTATTTAAGTATGAATAGGTATTTTTGAGGTTATAGAAAGGTGATTTGAGGCTTTAGGATAATTTTAAAATTTTTAATTTATTTTTGGATGAATTTTTAGAATATAGAAGGATGAAATTGTGATACTAGAAGTGAATTGAGGATAAAAAAAAATAGTTCATTAGGGTACGAGAATTTTAGAAAAGAATTTGAGAAGTTAAATGAGGCATAAATCTTAAATTAGTGTTAATATGGACTATAGATCTAAAACTTTCTAACTCTTTAAATTAGAGTTATTTATTTTAATGTAAAATTAATATATAGTATTGTGAAATAATTATGTAGATTATATTGACAAAGATAGTGGTGAAAAAGGAGTTGTGAAGGGGAACTTGTTATTCAAGACACAAGGTAACCATTATTAATGTGTTGTGATGAGTGTGTTTGTGAATGGTTATGTGTTGTTTTGTTGTTTGGAAAAATTATGAATTATTGAAAATAAATACTGTATATACCTGTTTGAAATCATTGCCAAGTGGGTTAAAAATTTATTTTTGTTTATCATGATGAGATATTATTGTTCGGATATATTCCTGTTTGGATATTTGAATGATGCATGACTTGTCAGGGTATTTTAATGTATGGTGTTAATGGGAATTTCTGTTCGGTTAATTATTACCACGTGGTAAGCCCTCATTGGACCCAATGAGTGGCGTGTCGCTTGGTCCAACTCACCTTTGGCCGGGTGATTTGGCGTCCGAGCATGGCGAAAGGAGGATATAAGGTGCAGTCATGCAAATTAAATACTTGTTCGGTTTGTTTGAAAGTATTGTTCGGTTAAATGTTTTGTGTGCCCACTTAGCAATCGCATGATTAGTTACATCCGCATGCATTATTACATATTAATTTTTGGTTACTGGGACTTTTAAGTCTCATTCCCCGTGGTTAATATTTTTACAGGAGCGAGTCCGGCCGAGAAAGCACCAGAGGTGTAACTGTGGTGTATGAGACACCATCTTTTACGTTGCCTCTTATTTTAGATTATACAATGTATCTTGTGCCAACTTAGGACATATCTTCTTTGTGAAGCATGTAAACTCTAATCCTTTTTATTAAAAGTATTTATATGACCAAGAGGATTATGTCTGTCCCTCTTGATTTATGATCTGATTTGAATAACATGCTATGAGGATCATGTCTGTCCCTCATGGTTCTAATTATTTTTTTTAGATATTTTAAGACCTGTGGTATATTATCTTGGATGTATCGTGGTAGAAATTTTTCTACCATGATAAGGGTTCAATGAAAAAAAAATAAAGAAAAAAAATGATTTCTTGAATTAATAATTTGTGAAAAATCGGTCTGTAAATTTGAGGGTGTTATACTTGATAGATGTCTTTGGATTAAGACTTGGTTGGTGCTAAGTGTTTCAGGATCCTTGTTAGATACTGAATCAAATTATAGCCACTGCCATTAGATAAATGTCTTATTTATCTATATGTAGGTGCTTAGATCAATTTAGTTTGAAGTTTAAGGAATAAATTAAGTGTATTTAAAGTCTAATTTTGCATGTTGTTAAATTTTTGTTTTGTTAGAGGGTTTCTGCATTAGTGGATATATGCTTTTCCATGATCAATGTGTCACCCTGAGGTTGGTTGCAACAGACTTGACTTATGACTACGGCAAGGTGGTCTCTGTACCACGTGACTCTACAGATTGTGAATTAGATGTATCAGATGAGTTAAGTGATATTGGCCATGGTAGATGTTCCTTAGCCATGACGAACGAATGCAGTTATGCTGAAATACCCGGTTGCCCTTACTGGAAACTTTTTTTAGTACTCTATTATTTTCCATGATCTTGCATATCTTTCTTACTTTGATTTTAAGCATTTTTAAGTATTAATCTTTTTTAGATGGTTTTTGAAATCCTTTCTTTAAAAGGTGTTTTGTAGACCTTGATTTAATTAATTTAATGCCATGGTTGATCTTTAATTTTAAGAGTTAGCTGGTTATAGGGTTTAGAGTCAATTAATGATGGAAGTCATTATAAGCATGGATCAAGATCCCTTCCAGAAGCCACATAATAGAAATTTAGAATAATGTTAATTACTTTTCTATTTATATGGTATCTTAGTTCAAATTATAAGATATTCGGAGAATATTAGTCATGGTTGGGAATAATTGTATGTAAGGCTAAGATGAATCTACAAATTTCTTTGTAGGTCTAAGGATCTAAGTTGAAATTAAATTGAAAAAATTGCATTCAAAGACCTATGAAGAATCTTATTAATGGACAATGATCAACAAAAAATAGATTGTTGTTAAAATTAGAATATGAACTTGTTTTTCTCAAATGATCACTTGTTTTTGGTTCTTATTTGCGAATAACATTCTTCACAAGCCCTTGAATGTAATTTTCCCAATTAAATTTCTCGATTTGATAACTAAAATGTTATTGGTTTATGAAGAAAGGGTTAAGGTCTTTGAACCATTCTCCAATGAGTATTCATTTTTTAAAACTATTTATCATAGTAATTTTACTCTTAAAATAATTAAAATATAGCATATCTATCCTTGATATTAAATACTTGAATATGGACTGTTAAAAATACTGACCAGGACTTAAATTTGATTGAAAATGCCCTTGTCATGCCAAGTGATCTAAGTTAATGTACACTTTTACTACATTTTAACCATTTTAGAGGAAAAATTGTTATGATGCAAATAATTAATAACTTGCTCTTTGGAGAATAATTCAGAAGCAAAAATGTACATTAATTATGGTCTACTCAGTATTTTTGGTCAAATTTAAGTCACAAACATAATTTTTAATCGTCAATATTAAAGTATTTAATGACAGGGACAAATATATTATATTTTAATTATTTTAAAAATAAAATTATTATGACAAATAATTTAGAACACGGGTTGCTTTTAAAAAAATAATTCAATAATAAAAGTACACTTTAACCCATAAAAAATACCATTGTCACCAGAGTCAAGGAGGTTTCAACTTATGATTTCATGATTTTTCAAAACACACGATACCATTCACCCAACAAATCATTAAAAAAAATATAAAATAACACGTGCGCACTCAAAAAAAAAAAACTATTGTATGTTTGTGTTAATCTAGCACAAGCCAACTCATATGACTAGAGGTAAAAATTTAGGTAGAGTAGATAGGTTTAGGGCTTGGCCTGAATAAGCTCAAATCGAATAGATCCAAACCCAAATATATACTACATCCTTGAAAATTCAAATAGTCAATTTCGGTCCAAATTTCTTCAATCTTCGGGTTGTTGGAATACTCAAAATTTATTTTTAAAATTATTTTTTATTAAATTTGTTAATTTAAGATTAATTATTTTATTTTATAATATATATTTTTTGGATACTTAAATGATCCATATGATGCAAATATATGGTATTTTAGTATAAAATGACCTAAAAATTAAAAAAGACACACACAAATAAAAATGTCTTTATTTTATATTCGGTATCCATTAAACTATTTTTTTAAAAAATAAAAATTAAAAAGCTGTAAATCTGAATCATTTATATTATGTCTAAATCAAGATTTAAATAGTTTAAAAGTGATAAGTTTTTAATATTCATCTATATGATGAGTACTAAAATCATGATGCAAACTATAGAACATCAATCTTTTTATAAATGGTTCAAAGATGATGAGCTCTTAACATTTATTTACATGATGAGCACTTAAATTAGTTTTGTTTGAAAATTATGATGCAAAATATAGAACATGGATCTTTTCAGAAATGGCCACACCCGACTCTCTCTGTGCACCTGAAATCACCAACGCCGGAAGGGGCACCATCAGTCCACGGAAACATAAAATATAATCATGAAAGTACAAATACTTATATCTTTTTTTCTTTAATTTTTTTAACATAAATAACAATGTTTGGTCAAAAAAAAAACATAAATAACAATGATAATTAAACTATAAACAACTATTTTTTTTATTTCCGCACATGCTTTTCTGTCTAGAAAATAAAAATAAACAACTTATTTGATTTTAGATTTTTTATCCTCAATTATACTCAAATATAAAAAAATAATTTGTTTAATTCTAGATATATTGTAATCACATGATTAAAATTTAAACAATAATTTATTGTATTTTAGTATTTATTATTTCCTATATATAAAAATATAAATCATTTGCTTTATTTTAAAATTGAAAATATAAATAATAACTTAATATATGTATGACAACTTGTTACTTCCTCTGTTAAAAAATTTAAGACATTTTTAACTGAATTTCACCTACAATAAAGTAGTTATTTATTTTCAAACTAACCATATATTTTTATATTTATTCTTATTAAATATCCTACAATAAATATAAAATTATTATCAATAGGGTACTTTTGAAAAAAAAAGACCACGATTACACATCAAAAAATTAAAATTTTTTATATTTTTAAACATCCAATTCTTTAAAAAATATTTTATATTTTTAAATGGAGGAAGTATATTTTATAATTTATTATCTTTTATTTATATTAAAAACTTGAAGACAAAATTTATTCCAAAAGTTATTACCTCACGTCCCATGTGCCAACATGTTAGAATTTGAAGTTATTTTAATAACAACTCTTACTATAATAAAAAAATAAATAATATTTTTTCTATCCTAAATTATAAAGTACTTTAAAAAAAAATTCATCTCAAGATATAAGATATTTTATATAAATTAAACTTTCATTAAACGCATCAATTTTGATATTATCTTTTCTTTCTTTATAATTAATGTTTATCCCTTCTCTTTTTAATATTTTAAATGATGGATATTTTTAAAAGTTTATATTTTTATTATAAAAAATTAAAATTGTTAAATATATTTAATGAGATTTATTAATATATAAAATTTTATTTAAAAATATTTTATAATTTAAAAGGAAGGGAGTAATTTATTATTTTGCGCCCATGAAAAACCACACTGGAATCATAACTTCATAATAAATGAATCATGTTCTTAATTTAGGCGGCACATTAGCTCAAATTACGTATACAAGAATTTTGAATAGAAAATTAAAAAAATAAAATGGAGTTAAAGGATAAATCTGGAAAATATTCACCCTTAAAATGAATTTGATTAAGATTATTTTACTATTTTGACCTTCCTTTTCTCTAGGCTTGCGGTCTTTCTGCAACCTCCCATCTTCCCATTTCCTATCTCTCCCTCTCTCTCTCTCTGATTTCCGTCTCCCACTATTGCAGACGAGATATTGCACAGTCACTCCCGTAAGAAACAAGAAGCTCGTAGATTAGAGTAAAACAAAACTGCAGTCTTATTTTATGGATTCTATCGAGTCCTTCAAGGGCTACGGCAAGGTAGATGATTTTTGCAGTGACGTGCCTGTGCTCAACAGAGACTGCTTTGTGGCTGCTACTGACGATAATGAAACTGCAGGAGCAGTGCAATTTTCGGATCGAGGGTCTTGAGAATTAGCTCCTGCGTCCAAATTTAGGAAAGGACCGGGATAAGAGTTGCGGTGGGTTGGGAGGAGAGAGATTGGAGGTAATTTGGAGAAAGATAAAAAAGAGGAGGACGGTGACTATTGGTGGTGGTGGTGGTGAGAAACAACGGAGAAAGAGCCAAATGGGAGGCGAGGATTGAGAAAGGGCGGAACCATGTCACCCCTTGAATCATACTCTTCACCCCCTCCAGACGAGATAATCCCACTATTCCCATTATCTTTTTTTTTTTTTTTGAATAAGAAAAAACTTCATAAGTAAATAAATACAAACTGAAAAAAAAGATCCAAAAAAGAAAAGACAAAAGACTTCCTCAAGGAATCAAAAAAACCTAAAAGGGAGGCAAATGATATAAGTTAAAATCATAGGGAATACTATGTGCTAACTTAGCAAAATAGCATCCTTGTTGTCATTCATATACAAAAAGTGGATATTAACATTTCAATCTTTAATAAAAAGCCTTCTGGTAGTCCTATATAATGTCATAGAAGTTATGGTAATTATGGCTGTTCCTTGTGATAGTCAAGATAGCATACGCACTATTACAAAAAACCTCTACAGGTCTATATTCCTTCTTCTATCATAATTCTAACCCATAAAAAATCTCAAATTTTTACAATACTAGCGAGGACATGATCCAATTTTTTATTAAAACTAAGAATTCAATTCTCAATATTATCTCTCATGATATCACCACAAGTACTACGCCC